ATTCATCATAATCTCTTCAGGGGTAGGACAAATTGGAGGACTGGGTAGTGAATACAATTTGCAAATAGGCAATATAAGTAGAGAGAAAAGTAATATGTATTCCTCAGCACTCTATAAAGGAGAGGAAGAACATTAATAGCCATTTCCTTGAAGATATAACTTTGAAAATGTTATTTCTGATCCATCAGTGTGGGGCTCCATACGAGGAAAATGGTTACAACATGACAAGAAGTGATTAGATGTGAAATGGCATCTTTCTGGTGCTCTTCCCCAGTCTCTTCACCCTCTTCTTACTGGGATGTAGGATGAATCCCGTTTTATTTTCTTCAGAAGATCAGAGTTCTGGCCTGGGCTCAGCTGCTCATTGGCTGGGTGGCCTTGGGCAAGTCGTTCCATGCCTTAGGCCTCAGTTTCCTCAATCAGTAGTTGGAGTAAATGATTTCTAAAGCAGTAAGTCTGGATGGTCACAGTCAAAATTACCTGGGGGTACTTGAGAAAATATATATGCTAGGGCTGCATCTGTGGAATCAGAATCTCGTTTGCTGAGTCCTGTACATTTTAATCGGAGGCCGGTTGTTCCTCAACCTCTAAATGGCAGAACCTCTCCAAGCCACGTTGGGATTCTGGAAAAGTACCTGGGGCTTAGATACTGCTTCCCTCTCCCCCAGTGGACAGTATAAAGTTGAACAGGTTCTTCTGGTCAGTGTTCTCTTTCCTTCTCAAAAGTCCACTATGAGCCCCTGTCCTCAAGTCAGAGATAACTTCCCTTCTGGGCCCAGCTAAGGACTTGGGGCATCCAGCTAGTTCCAGGTCAATGGGGGAATAAGATTTGTTTTTCATTGCTGTTTTCAGGATTTGTGAAAATAATGCTAAGAGATTAGCAGGTAGCAGTTCCAGTTATAAATTATCTTTTCCTGATCCTTCCATCCAATCTCCTCCATTAGCTTCTAATTACAAAGGCAGGGTATGCATGTTGCAAAATCACAGAAGATAATGCAGTGAAAAGCAGAAGCCTTTCTCCCACTCACCTTTGGCAAACCTACTCCCTTCCCCACTCCCAGCTAATGTTTGCATTTTAATAGAGACAACAACCACAGTATCTTTTAAGATACCAAGAGAAGGAAACTCAGAGGCACGGAGAAGTAATGGTAATGATAATTATAATAGTATACAGTAATAATAAACCAACATTTATGCAATGAATAATCATGCCAAACAGTATGATTGCATTTAATATATATATTTTAAAATGTAATTTGTTCTGGTTGGGAGATCAGGGAGGTGTTTTGGAGCCTAGATCATCCTTAATCCTTCACATACGTGCAAATATTGCTTAGAGGGCCCTGGAAACCTTTCCTCTTCCCTAAACTCCCTCCTTTAGACTGAAAGGAGGCTGCTTCAGCAACAAAGAGCATTTTGAATGCAGACAACCAGATTTTTTTGTTTTAATTGAAATCTGAATGTGGTGAGTCTGAACTAGGGGCTGGGGCATGATTAATTACAGCAATCATCTTAACCTACCCGGGGGTTGGGCCTGAAAGAAATGAGGCCAGGCTGAATAGAAATTCGACTAAGGATAGGTAGGAATGCTAATAAAACTTTGTTAACTGGCCCTGTCCTCTCAGCTGATGATGCATAGAGTTGGAGGATTTTAAGGAATCAGTTCCTGTTTCACTGGTTCTGGTCGACCCCAGAATCAACTCCCTTGATTGCAGATAAACAGGATTTTCCTTTTTGTCCGCAGGAATGCGATGGAGGAAGAACTCTAGGGGAAAGGGCCTTTTCTGCCAAAGAATAATAATAACAAAGATGACAGTAGGAATAAAATATTGCCCTCTTCATCAAGGGTGATAAGGAAATGTCTAGTGGTAAGTGTCGAACCTTCTCACTCCCCATTTGCAAGTGTTAGAGCTCCAGAATTCATAGGCTCAGGATTAGCTGTCCAGCTCTGATTTGAACTTTCTGTTCTGTAGTACTCATGAGTATACTATACAAATGGGGCTACCTGTCACAGCTTTGGGCACAGGAAATAGGATCACAATCACAGGGCTTCTTGTTGACATAGTAATACAAATGTCTGAGCACAACTCTTTCCTGAAGTGTATGTCTTAGTTATGTATACCCGGAGTGCCTAGCACAGTGCCTGGTCCTCAGAAGTTGGGGCAGAGGAGCTGTGGGATAAAATGGGGTAAGGCAGGGTCCCCTGCAGCTCATTCTCAGTTGCCCACTAGAATGGCGGGAGGGAACTGAAGAAGAATCTGGATGACTGCATGAGCCTTTTCTTCCCCTCCGTGCTTCTGGGGCTGAGGCAGAAAGAGCTGTGTTCAAGATGAAGCCCCAACAAGATTTGTATCCTCTGTTCACTCTTGTCAACTCCCTGTGTTCCGAAGGAATCATTTGTTCACCTCCTGGTCCAGCCTCATCTCAGCGTTCCTTTGCTCTCTCCCTTCCAAAGGGAGGGCCATATTACTTGAAGAACTTTACCTTTGCTATTTAAATTTAGTTGTCCTTTTTGCTCAAGAAAAGTGATGAGGAGGTAGAAAGATGTCCTCCACCCCCCTTCTGATTTTCCTTGGTCCAGAGATACAGATTCGTCTTCTCCTTTCCCCTCCTTCCCTTCTCTTCTCCCTCCTTCTTGTTCTTCTCTTCTGAAGATAACTTCCAAAGCTGAAGGGAATAAGGAGAGGTGAACCCAGTCTGGTTTTAGAGGAGCCCTCCCCCGCTAAATTCAACAAATTTCTACTCTGCTCAAGAACTTTCAGTAGCTCCGTATTGTTATCAGCTCCCATTTCAAACACTGAAGCCCATGTCAATCTGGGCTATCCTTATTTTTTGTGATTTCCCCAATTCTCTGTCCCTTGCAGTCAACTAGCCTCCTGGATGTGTTCACCTAGTGGAGACAAGATTGGTTGGGGGACAAAACAGCTGAAAGCCGGGTAGCGGAGGGGAGGGGTGGGAGAGGAGGTAGGAGAGGTAGCAGATGATGGGATTCTAAAAGATCTTGAGGGATGTATTGGAGATTTGGGACTGTGTTATTAGTTGATAGGGAGCATCGAAAGATTTCAGGTAGGGTCAAATCAGGCTTTTAGAATGATTACCCTAGAGCTGTGTAGAGGAAGGAAAAATTGTGAGGGAGGCCTGGAAAGGTAGAAAAGATCCCTGCCTACTTTGGCATCATTGGCAGATAGTGTCCACAGAACAGTCTATGCTCAGAAGACATAGGTGTGTATGGATGCAGGGCCATGGATGAGATGACCTCAAGCACCCTCCTGCTGGGGTGGGAGTGTATACATTCCAATTTCATCTGTGAGTAGGTTTAAGCCTGTTTCCTCATGTCCTCTCCTCCCAGTCAGAGCCCTTCTAGGAAGACCAAGGTGAAAGGTGGAGAGGGCAGTGTATCATGACTGTCAGGGCCTGGGCCTACTTCCTCCTTTTTGGGTAGGAAAGGCAAACAAAAGTGGACAATGGACCAGAGAGGCTGCATCCAGCAGAGAAAGAGAGAGGAGCATGAGGAGCTGCTCTGTGGGGCAGTAGGCCTTAGAAGATTCCCTTTGATCCCCCTTATCTCTGGAGGGCAAGCCTTCTTTTTTGGCCTGTAGGACCTTTTGTTGCAGCATTTCCTGAACCCCCCCAAAGTAAACACAGTCAAGTCTCTGTTCTTACAGCTCCACTCTGCTATGTCCGCTCCTCCCAACAGAGAGAGGGGCAGTCGGGTCAGCCCTCAGAGGTCAACACTGCTCATCCGAATGCTGACAAGGAGGGCCCGCATTACAATGTGTTGGCACCAGGCCTGAGAGACAATGATGAGAGCCACAATATGCTCAACCACGATCATAATTATCATCAGCTGCACAAACAGGGGTTTCTAAGGGCTGTTTAGACACAGGGAACAATGAAAACAAAAGCCCTGGGAACACCCCCTCAGCAGAGGTGGGAGCTACTATTATCAGTAGGTCTCCTGAGTTGAGGTAACTGTAGTGCACTGCGTGGGACCCGGGGTCTGGCACTCAAGGATCCCTTCTCTGAATGGTAGCTTCCTTACTCACTGGTACGGAGGGAGCAAGGGAGAGAGGTCAGTTAAGGCCCGGCTGGCTCTTAGCTGCAAGAGAGGACTGGTGATAATGTGACAATGAAGTGGTACGTGGTAATAGTTTCCTGCACCCTGGGGATGGAGGCATGAAGGCAAAAATTCACAGGGAGAAAATTTGGTTCCTTTCAGTTGAGGACAGGCATGAGCTGCCCACCCAGCCAGATGGAGGAGGCCTGATGGAGGAGGCAGTAAAGGCCACCTTTCTCTTCCAGCTGAGGGGAAGGGGTGTGTGTGTGGGGGGAGCGGTGGTGACTGGGGATGGGATTTGACCGCATGGATGACTTTGAGCTTCACAAATAAGAGGGAGAGAATAAGAGAAACCTGAAATTTGGGGACATCATTGATTCTTCTTCTCGAGGGTTTATTACTGTCAGCTGGGGGTGTTTTTAGCTGAGCCGGCATTTTATTTATAGGGAAATTCAATTCCCTCTTCCTCCCACTACAAATGGAAACTCCGCCCCACCAGGTGTCCTTTCAACCACTCCATTTTCCTCTCAAAGTTGGGGAGGGGAGTTCAGGCCAAGGCCCCTCCTCCCTGCAGTTGAGGACAGTTACGAAACCTGGATTGTGAAATATAGGAAATATAGGAAAGGCCCGCCCTCCATGTCCCCCGCTAAATAACGGGGCCCTCAGATGGGGCCCCCCTCATGCGAAGCCCTGCTCCCCCTAGCCCGCCCCCGACTAACGCAGTAGAGTTCTGGGCGTGGAGTTTTGGGGGGATGCTATTCCTGGTCCCCTGGAGCCTCAGGGGGCGATGAGATCCTGGGGCGCCCGGGGGCCATGGCGGAAGTCAAGGGGTCAGGCCATTCCGGGGCGCTGGGGGCCACCTGTGGCGGCGCGTGGCGGGGGGCGTGCCTAGGCTCACCGGCTCCAGGGCCGGCCGAGAGCAAGCGGCGGGCGCAGCGGAGCCCAAGTCCCAGCACCCGGCCCGCGCCTCTGGCTTCCGCCGGGTCAGCTGACTACTTAAGTGCGGAACTGCACGCCCCGCCGTGCTGCCCGCAGCCGCCGCGCTCCGCGCTCAGTGCTCGGCTCTCGGTGCTCCGCGCCTGCACTCGGTGCTCCGCGCCTGCACTCGGTGCTCCGCGCCTGCACTCGGTGCTCCGCGCCGCGCGTCCGCCCAGTCGTCATGGCTGGGCTCGTGGTCAGTGGAACTCAAGTAAGTCCGCCAGGACGAACCCCGCCCTCGCTTGGGGCAAGCGGTGTGGGGAGGGAGTGCTGGGGCAAGGGGCCACCCCGAGGTAGAAAGGGCTCCTCGCCCTACCTCAGGGGGGCTGCGTCTCCAGCTGGCGACACTTTCAGGTGTCCAGACCCGCCCTAGCTTGGTGAGGACAGGTCCCTTTGGGGCCTGGCACCGCCCCGCTCCCCCCCCTCCCCCGCCCCGGCTGTGGGAGAAGAGGGGAAGGCCCCCTAGGTCGACCAGGTCCCCTCCACCTCCTCTGTCCCTAGTGCTCACTGTTAAGGCCAGCAGCGCCAATTTCTCCATCAGGCAGAGTGGACCATGCCCACAGCTGATGGTACTTTTTGGGACTCATAAAATGTGTAATTTCATAATCAGAAGAAAAATCACTTTGGTCAAAGAAAACATTTTAATATATTCGTCTTTATACTAATGAAGTTGTAAAATATAAACATTAGGGATGTGTATGGGGTTTATTTATTTTTTAAGGACCCCAGGATGGCAAAAGTGCCTAGGTCCCACTAAAGACCATGAAAATCATAATGCATTCCTGCAGGCTCTAGGTTTGGGGGCCACACTGCAGACTGCCTCTGGAACCTAAACCTAGGCCCCTTATTCAAGACAGGTAGAAGGCTAAAGTCCCCCAGTTTTATTTCGGCATCTGATTTCTCTTTTTAGTTTATTATATGGTTGACATGCGATGTTATATTAGTTTCAGGTGTACAACGTAGTGATTCGACAATTCTATACATTATACTTGGCTCACCACAAGGGTAGTTAGCACCTGTCACCATACAACCTTATTACAATATTACTGACCATATTCCCAATGCTGTGCTCCTCATCCCCAGGACTTATTTTATAACCGTTTGTACCTCTTAGTCCCCTTTACCTATTTTGCTTATCCTCCCACTCTCCTTCCCTCTGGCAACCACCAATTTGTTCTCTTGTATTTGAGTCTGTTTTTGTTTTTTGTTCATTTTTTGGATTCCACATGTAAGTGAAATCGTACGGTATTTGTCTTTCTCTGACTTGTTACACCTAGCATGATACCCTCTAGGTCCCTCCATGTTGTCGCAAATGGCAAGAGCTCATTAGGCACATGACTTCTTAAACTGGTGTCTGAGGAATGGCAACATTCCAGTTTCAACTCTGGGTGACAGACACCTAGCCTCACTTGCTTTCAGTGCTGTAGTGGAGCCTCAGGTGTTCTCAGTCATTGCTGGAGGGATGCTGGGCCCAGGTGCCTTTTACCTTCTGGAAAAGCCAGGTCTCTCTCTTTAACCTCTGATTAAGCCAGCCCTCCTCCCGCCTTCCCTTGCATGCCCTGGAGAAATAGTTCTGAGGTTTTGAAGCTCACCCCTTGGATTGCCTAAGGCAGGTAGTGTCAGGCACAGTTAGATTTTTGAGATTACTCCGGGCAAATGTTTCCACCTTCTCCGAGTTCAGAAGTGAGCAGGCCAGGGAGGTACCAGCCTGTGGGAAAGGTTAAAAATGATGGGTCTTATTTAGACGGCAGGAAAAGGGGCTTTTGGGAGTTAACATGCCTGCCTAGAGGAAGTGGAGGAGGGGGCCTCTGCCAAGAATGTCCCCTTCCCCCAAGACCCTAGGTCTCTGCATTTCAGACCCAGCATTCTTTGGGTGTAGCTTCTTCCAACTTCATGGAACACTTAACAGTAGGGCTAAGAACTTTCCTGTGCCTCCTTTCCCCGTTTCCCTAACTTGATTATTTTCCTGCACCCCCTGCTTTTAACCTACTCCAAAGGGCTCAAAGGCAATCATTAACCTGTTGGTGAGGCATTTTGAGCATTAGGGGACTGTTTTAAGCAGATGGAGCTGCTGGGGGAGGAGCTGAGAAGACAGGCTGAGAAAATGCTCCTGGGGTGTTAGTCTCCCAGGTCCTGAACCTCCTAGGCCAGTGGATCTGAGTGGCAGCCCTGGGGTTTAGGGTATTTTTTTTTTTTTTTAAAGTATTCTGCCCCTTTTAGTTTCTAATGACAGCCATAAGAAGTAGTAGTTCTTGGAATGTGTGTCACATGGTACTTCTCAAATTTTGGTAGAGCCTTCTTAAAGAGGAAAAAAAGAAGCGCCTTCTGATGAGCCCATAGTATTGATACTGTTTTTATTGCAATGTTGCTTAAATGTACAAACATAAACCAGATATAACTTTTTCGAAATTCATGGAGACCTATCCCCCAGATAAAGAGATGGCTTAAGTGCACAGAAAACAACAACAACAACAACAACAAAAGACCATACCACCACTAAAACAATTGAATGAGATGGATGATGTTGAAATTAGGTCACTGCTTTCAACACCACATTGTACTGACTGCTATTGCCCTGGGTTTTAGGAGTTCCACTGGCCTATATCAGCCCTCCTTCCACTCTCCTCTGTAAAATCTTTTTATTCAACATGAATCTGACTTCATTTGGCCTTCTCTTGGCTTGAATGCATCATGTATATCAGCATTAAGTCCTCAATCTTCTTTTTCTACTAGCTGATGACCAAGTAGTGGCATCGATAAAATTGTAGATACGAATGCAGACTTGGAATTCGGGCACTGAAATCTTGTGCCAAGAGACATGGGAATAACCAATCCCTTTCTTAGGGATATTGGTCTGATTCAAATATTTACCGAGTGGCCCCTAGATGCTGAGGACAGGGCTGTGTACTCTAAATATGTTATCTTCTCATTGCTATAAGCTGAGGATCTATGACTCACTGGGCTATTTCATGAAGACTGACTAGGTAACAGCCAGGTGGTAGGCTTTAATAAATGTTAGTTCCCTTATGCGTCATACCTTTTGGATGCGGTTAGTGTTAGACTAGTTTACAGAAGAGGAGACAAACTGAGATTGTGACCCATCCAGGATAACACAGCTAGGATGTAGCAGCACAGGGACTGTTTCTATTCTGACAGAGCTTTCAGTACTGCAAATTTAAAATCAAGGATCTTCCATCCCCCCGTTTGGGGTCAGGCATCAGAAAATAATTGTCTCTATACACAGTCTACTAACCAATCTACTATCCTCAGAAATGTCCAGAGGGCCTGACTGGCCCAACTGCAAAGAGAAATCTGTAGTCTTCTGATCAGGTTGGTAATTCCCTGTGGCCTCTGCTCAGAGGGGCTGGGTGTGTGTATGTGTGGGAATTCTGCATAGACCTTCTTGTTTTCCTCTCTGGTATCCCTCTTTGGGGTAGGGGAGGATCTTCATATGTTTTCACTTCCCTGGTAATAGTGTCCCTTTCTGTTACCATTCCACATGGGGTAGAAGTCTTGGGATGCTGGTGCTATAAGGTAGGCAAATGAAAAGCACAAAACCTGGCTCTTCAGTCTAAAAGTAATTGACTAAACACAATGACTCTTGTCCTGGATGTGCTTTTGCTTCTGTGGCATTTAGGGTCTGTTAATCTCCATTCCCCTTATTTGCTCATGTAGCAAACTGTTTTTGGTCTGGCTTGTTACATGAGGTTGGGCCTATGCTCCAAGAAGCTTCCTGACATCTGAGAGGTAATGTCTTCCACTCAGGAGCACTTCCTAAACATGACTTTTCTTCTCATGAGTGTTGGTTGCAGTTCCTAGCGGTGGCTGCCTGCTGCTTTTAAGCCTTGTCCCTCGGATTTGGACCCTTAAATATGGTCCACTTAACACACATCTCTAAATGCTCCCAGTTTAGCATGGGGGTTGGTGGGGGTGAGGTGTCCAAGCATGCAGATGGCTTGTCAAGTTGGTTTTCATACTAAATTTTTGAGACTTGGTCTTCACTGCGGAACAAGTTGTGCTTTAGTTTTCCTGGGATGTTGGGGTAAGCTGTTGTAATAAAACAAGCTGATAAAAGTCTTGTTAGGCATGTAAATGGTCTGCATACTTCATGGTGATAGCTTTCTTGGTGCTCCTTTTGCCTCTTGAAAGGGGTCCTACAGAAGAAGGAGGGGAGCAAATCTCCCTCTCTTTCCCCAGGTTCTGGGGCTCTCAACATCCTATCGTGAGGTAGTTCATGACCTTTCAGCTAGGAAGACGCATTTTTGAAGCCAAAACATGATGATAGATGTACCACTGGTGTTTATTGATCCAGAAAATCTACATCCATGTGTGGATTTGTAAGAACTCCATGGCTCCCAAGTTGGAAGTTCCTATTCCTGGTACAGGGCTTTATCATTAAGAAGCTGTATTACCCTGGGCATGCCGCTGAAGTCTTAGTTTCTTTGTAAAAACATGAGGGGTTTTGAGAAACGGGGTCCCTACAAGATTGAGTCATTGGTGAGTCTATAAGGACAGAGCTCAGTTTCCACATCTAAACCTCAGCCTCTATGCTGTATATACCACGGAGATCTTAAATAATGATACCTATAAGATGGGGGTGCATGATGGGGTAAAAGGGATGGGTTTTCTGGTGATTTCCATGGGCCTGCAGGGTCAATGGGATATTCTAATACAGAAACTGCTGCTGATCAAGTGGGCATCCTGAGGGAAATTGAAGTCCCTAGATTGATTGGGACCTTATATCCCCAGTCTCTTCTCGCTGTATGATTTCCATCTCTGCTTGGAAGCAGAAGTTTATTACACAAGGAGTTCTGAGGAACAACCGGTCCCATGTAGAAAAGGGAGGTTGCTAGATTGAACTTTGAGATCTTTATTTTTTAGCCTGTGTCTTCCTGAGGCTAAATTACCTTATCGGAATCAGCTATTTTTCTGTCCTTTCTCCCCCACTTTCTGTCCTCCAGAAATGAAGTTACTAAAGGAGTGAGTAAGGATCCTGTCAAACTGTCAGCAGTTTGACCCCATTGGATAGGACAGGGAGTGGACTTGAAAATTGAGCATATTAGGGTACAGTGTGATTTTTTATTAGGCTGAGTCCTATGAAGGTACTATTTCTGTAGTTCTAGGATTGAATATTAGTAAGTCATAATGTTCAACCTAATATCTAGAGTTCTATATGGCCACCATATTCTTGTTCCCCATGAGGAAGCATAACCCCCTGGGGAATCTCTTACTTATTCCAAGACATTCTTACCTTACGTGTAGGAGGATATGCATTTTGTGGGGAGAAAGGATCAAGACTGTAGGCATGTAATAGGCCTGAATTTCTATCTGGTGGTCGGGGGTAGGGAGTCCTTTACGGAAGTATCCTATGTTTTGATCCACTGGCCAACTCTTACCCATGGGTTTGTTTTATGGATTTTGGAATTCGTACCCTGTGGTTGAATTGGCAACTATCTGTAAAAAATGGTTTTTAAAGATTGAGTGTTTGGAGCTGTGAGAAAGCCCTCTGACCTTCCTACAGTCAGAAATTCTGGCATCAAATTTCAATTCAGCTTCTTAATATTTGGACACACACTAGGTTGTTAATAATGATGATAAAATAAGTAAAAGAAGGCCTAAGGGAAGAGCTCTGCAACCCGAGTAGGGTTGGTTGCAAAAGGCTCCCTGGAGAAGAGAGACTTGGAAGCTGTGGCCACCTTTCGTTTCCCTGTCGCCTTCAAATCAGCTTTGTACAGAGTGGGGGACATTTTATAGGAAGTGGTAATAGGATGGGATTGGCGGTCTGGGAAGGTTTTCTTGTCCAACCCTATTTGTTCCAGCACCCTGCAGGTTGAATGCTGGTAAGTGCATCTGCTGTGTCTTTTATGAGGTAATGTGAATAACAGGGTATTTGGGGGGGGGGGGGACAGGGGAGGACAGGGAGGAGGAGAGCCAGAAGGGCAGCTGTTGGGAAGGCCCCTGAGCGAGAGGCTGATTGCTGTGATTTTATCAGCGTGCTCTGACATGGGGGCTTTTCTGGACACCTGAATCTGGCCAATTTTAGTCCAATTTCCATTGTGCTGGGATTAGTCTCCATCATGCCAAGTGTACCAGGAAAGGGGAGCTGTTGGCAGAGTCCTTGAAACCCCCAAAGCTGATTTGATCAGGAAAACAGTCACAGTGTAGCCTTTTTTTGTGTGTGAGGGGCGCCTGCTTTTAAAGTTGGGGAAGCAATCTTCAGATCAATGACTCCGGGTTGGGAGCAGCTGGGCGATTTCCGTTTGCCACATTGTTTCTGTTCCCTTTAATTTCCAGGTGTCCTACATAGGCCAGGACTGCAGAGAAATTCCAGAGCACCTTGGCAGGGACTGTGGACATTTCGCAAAGAGGCTCGATCTGAGCTTTAACCTTCTGAGGTATGTACCATTCACAAGATGCAGACCGGGCCAGGGAGGAACCAGTGCCCCTGGTCACGGCCTCTAGGTGCAAGTCACCGTCCAGTTCTGCATAGGGTGTGGGGCTCTGAGACATGTGGAATCACACCCCAAAAGTGAGACTTTGCTTCAGATGAATCTTTGGTTAGCCTTTTTGTGAAAAAGCTGCAAGCATGGACCATCTCCCCTGAGATCCTATAAGAGGACCATTGTCATGTTACTTTGTTCTTTTCCTTTCTCACTGATACCTATGCAGAAAAAGTTAGAATACTCTTGGGGAAGGAATGAGATGGAACCAACAAGAGCATTTTGTGGCATTTAGGAATGCTTTTCTGGGTAACCCCATCTCCCAAAGATATGCCAAATCACAGGTAAGGTGCATATATGTGTGTGTTTTCTTTCTTTGATTTTTTTTTTTTTTTTAATGAATTGGAACCTTAAATATTTTGCGGTGATTTCTCCCAGATGGTATTTCAAAGCAATTCAGACACTGTTGGCATGGGCCAGGTGGGAGGGGTACTCTAACAACTGTTTCAATCTTGGCAAAAGTTAAGTGTGATCTTCTATATTATTCCATTGGAGAATACAGACAGTGATTTCATTTCTTCATAGAAGGTTACCAGTTGTGACTGGTTTGGGGGCTTGGAAGAGGGAAGTAGGAGGTACTTGGAAAGCGGATATCAATGGGATAAATGAGCAGGGGTCAGGGTGGTGGTTTTCCTAATAAGCTGTGCTGTCCTCCGAAAGGAACAAACTGTCTTGGGGTGGAAGAAGAGATGAGGAGCTTGAATCCCACCCCAGGGCTCAGGCATTTTTGTGTTTCCACGCCTTGGAGTATTTTCTCTCCCAGCCTCTGAGTCAGGACACTGGGGAATTAAGAATTTGAGAGAAGAGGGATGAAACTCAGAGCATTAAGGCCCAAGCAGTTAGAGGGGACTTGAAGCCAACAGAGCTTTTTGGGCTGGTCCTTACTGAGATGCATGGTCTTCTGGGAAGAGATGTCCAGAGGGTTATGTAGAAAGAGAGTGGGTGCTGAGTGCGTGCATACAAGGGTTTGTATGCTTCTGGGGAGATGTGGAAACTGAAAAGTCACAAACTAATATGTAGTGATAAGAGGATGCCAAACAAAGAAATGCTGACTCTAAAGAAATGAAGGATGATTTTTGGTCCTAATACCCAAGGACAGGACAAAAGTACACAGCCTGGACTGGATGGTGCCTGAGAGGTGTGTGCCCCTTAAAAAGCTCCCCAGTGCAGACGCAGGGAAAGGGTTTCTTTGCTTGGACATTGGAAGGAGCTCTTTTTGTGGGCCTGGCTTCCAGAAGCTTGGGGCGTTGTGGCTCAGGCTGTGGCTGCCTTGCTGGTGGGAGCCCGGATGTGGGTTGGAGGGGGCTGGGCCCCATGAGGGGGTGTGTCAGTGGGGACAGGTCATGGGACTGAGCTGTCAGGTCTGAGGAAACAGAGCTGTCTTTGTCAAAGGCGGAGGCCCTGCCTCCCCTTGGCAGAGAATGGGCTGGACTCTGAGAGAGGGTGTGTGTGTGTGTGTGTGTGTGTGTGTGTGTGTGACAGAGACAGAGAGAAAGATGAGCAGAGTCAGTAGTGAGAAGGGGTTGTGGTCTCTGAGGGGCTGGATATATAAGGATTTATTATTGGAAAGGACAGGTTCTAGAGGCAGGGCAATTCAGTGAGAGGGAGGTTAGTAAAACAGATTTGGAGGGAGGGGAGTTGTGAATTTAATTCCCCTTTGTTGAGAGGAGAACACTTCTGTAGTGTTGAGTTTGAGGTGCCATCCCATCTCATCAGGGTCCTGTTGTTTTTGGTGTGTGATCACCACACTGGGTTGTAGCTGGATTGGGGCAGGGATGAGCAATGGAGGGGTGTGCACTTGGCATAAGCTTTAGAAGGAACAAACATGCAAAAAGTAGGAAAAAATTTTTCTTTACATGTAGATTTTTTTAGCCTTCCAGTTCTCTGCCCTGCTGTCACTCATCATTTTGTAGTCCTCCAGAGCTATTTTGGGCATATGCTACAATGTGAATGTCTTAAGTGGCCATATTGTATTCCTTCTTACCAAGGTATTAGTTAAAAGGGAGGCACCAGGCTTCAATTAACCACTCATATTAGGAGCATCCTTCTCTGTTGTCTTACCACTAATTTATAACCATACACCATCAACATTGTTAATCTCATTCATAAAAGTGATGGTTCTGCTGATTCTTCCCATGGCCACCTGTTCATGCTGGAGGGAAGGATGCTTATGGATTTATAAGCTCTAAACTTTGGTTTTAAGTCACTATACATATAAACTTTTATCCTGTTATACCTCTGCCTTCTCTCCTGCATTAACTATTATGAATCCTCTGCTTCTTTTGGATCTGCCAATAGTAAACTGGTTACCTGTCCATGCAGAAGGTTGTGGAAATTCAGGCTATACTGTTTCTATGACTCTGTTCTGGGGGAACGAAAGACATTGGACTCTTCCTAGACATGATTCCCAGGGACAGGTGATTGCCATCCACCCTGGAATGGGGGATAGAGGGTTTAGAGAGCTCATCAGGTAATGCTTGAGAGGAGTGTTGTTTCTTGAATTTGAATGCATTAATGATCACGAGTCCAATGTCTGTATCTGCATGAAATCGTACTTTAGATTTTGTTTTTTGAAGATTTTTTTTTTAAATAGAAACATGATCAATATAGAAATGTTAAACTCAAAGGCATAAGGAAATGCTCTTTCTTTCAAATCACTGATAATCTTAACCACTGGAAATCACCACTGCTGACATTTTATTGTCTTCCAATCTTTTATAATGCCAAATATTTAAAAATGATGCTGTTGCTCACATTGTGTTGGAAGCATTTTCCTATCATTAAATACTGCATTACAGTTTTTAATGGTTTCTTATTTCTTAGTGTTGGACATTTAGATTGTTTCCAGATTTTTACTGTTAAAAATATGTTATAAATATTCTTGTAATGCTCATGAATAGGTCTCTGATTAGTTTCTTGGGATAAATTCCTAGAGACCCAAATTGTCAGAGGGCTCTGATAAAGATGTCAGACTGCCCTCAAGAGAGGTTCTACCAATTCTCCTACTAAGAATATTTGAGTACCATTGTCCCAAACTCTTCCTTGAACTTGTTTTTGAGGTTTTCATATTTTATTTTTACTGTGATCAGTGAAGAGATCCTATGCTTTAGCCAGTGCTGGTTCCTTGATCTGCTCAAGGCAAAAAGAGCTTGTTAATGAACTATTCCAGCTTCAGTTTTCCTTGTTCCCAGGATTGGGAAAGGACAGAGTTCTCTGTGGTGCCCATCCCATGCTCCCAAGGGCCCTGAGTCCTGAGTGGTTTGAGTGGGTTGCTTGCTGAGCTTGTTGAACACAGCGGGCAGAGCGGGACTCCCGTGGCAAACAGTGATAAATACGCCTGTGTCAATCTGGCAATAAAATCAAGAGGGTTTAATTGATCTATGGCAACAGGAAGCTTACGTTTTAAAAAATTAAATTATTTGCACTTGCATCTTATTTAGCATCACTCTGATAAATGTACTCGATTGGAGAATTGCTTAGGAGAAAATTTCTTAGGTGGGAGCTTGCTTGTTGCTTCCTTGGCTTTGGCCAGGCTAAAGAAAGTGAAAGACTGGAGAGTTTGGGAAGCTCCAGTAAAGAAATGGTGGGTCTGTGCCCCCCACCCTCACAAAGGCAGTGAAGTGGACACTCAGGGGTGCACTGTAAGGCTTCGAGGACAGGCACACCACCACCATTTGTGTCTGTTATGAACTGCTAGATGAAACTGGGCCTGGTAACTTGCTGCAAAATTGGGAAAATGGGCAGGGAATGAAAAGGAACCAAGGCTTTGTGGTTAGACACCCCAGCTTGAAATCCTTCTGTCACTCACCAGTTGTTTAACTGGCCTTAACTTGATTGCAGGAATTCTGAGTGTGTGACTGTGTAAAGTGCCTCACACATTACCTGGCACGTAATAGGTCTTCCATAAGCATAGCTATAGTTAGAGCTGAAACGTGTTGCTGGGGAGGCTGAAAGCCCATGCTTAACCCTCCACAGGGGCCATTTCAATCTATTGTAGTCACTGGGGTTCCTTATGGACATTTGGGATTTTCTGTCCTTCTGTGCATGGTATGTTTGTACATCGCTGCATCCTTTGGTGTGACCAATTGGCAGAAACTTGAAAAGCTAGTGCACAGTTTGCCATTTACTCTTCTACCTGCTGTAATCATTGGGTTCTGACTATAAATGAGCAAAACCCTTTGCTGATCCATGTTGGACATCAGTTTTAAATGAGAGCTAAATCTGTTTATAAGAGTTTAGGGTATTTGTTAATGCAGCATAACCTAGCTGATGCTAACCAATGTACTTCAGTTCTCCAACTGTCTTTGACATTCCATAGGCTCAACCCAGTTGTCCTCTACATGTTTTTCATTTTTGCCAGTTAGGATCATACCTTTGTTGATAGTACAGTGGGAATCGGTAAGAAAAAATTCCCCACCCAGACTCGCAGGAGAACAGTTGAAAGGGCATATTCTGTTGACATGGGTCTTCATCAAATCCTTTATTTGGAGTCAGGCAGCTTGTTCATACATATTTTTAAAACCCAGATGTAGTGGTCTGTCTTGGAGAGCATGTTGATAGTGGAGTGGGGGTGGAGTGGGGGTAGAGATGATGGTAGAAAAGATAGACTTTAGAAAGATAAACTGTTAGTGAATTTTCAGAATAGTTCTAGGGCATTGATAAATTCTAAGGAGGCAAGGGTCTTTGTATGCTGGAGCAAGTGTTCTAAGCTGGGCAATGTTGTGAGAAGCCTCTTTTTTGTGCCCAGCGTATCACTGGCCATTCTCATGTCTCCAGCTCCCAACAGAACATACAACCAAAAGGTGAAGTGGAAACATGACTTGACAAGTACTATTTAATGTCTCAGGGGCAAGACTTTGATTTCCTTTACTCAGACTTTTTCAAGTAACCTCCAT